TGTGTGTGTGTGTGTGTGTGTGTGTGTGTGTGTGTGTGTGTGTGTGTATAGAAAATATTCAACAATGAAAATAATTTTAGCCCTCCACAAATGAGAAGCAGTAAAAAGATTATCCAACAATTTAACTTTTAACAGCCTCATCAAGTGAGATCAGTGCATTCAGGTGGAATGATATGTATGAAACGTCTTAAAACGTGACATTTAAAATGCAAGTTTGTACATTTTGTTCTTATTTGTGGTATTCAAACGCGCTCTCTGTGTCCCAGTGGTCCTTATCGGTGACTCGGGCGTGGGGAAGAGTAACCTGCTGTCTCGTTTCACCCGCAACGAGTTCAACCTGGAGAGCAAGAGCACCATCGGGGTCGAGTTCGCCACGCGCAGCATCCAGGTGGACGGCAAGACGGTGAAGGCCCAGATCTGGGACACGGCTGGCCAGGAGCGCTACCGGGCCATCACATCAGCGTGAGTACAGAGGAGGACGTCGCCTTCAATACCATACGTATGATCATACAGATACAGTATATTGAGATGTTTTCATCTCGTAGTTTAAAGAACACGCCTCCATATGCATCAACATCACAGCGCCACTTCTGGAGCAACCTGGGCCGCAGTCTTCCACGAACCGTTGCATGTAAACTATTCATTAAAAGTCATAACGGTGCTTTTTTTATTATCAATACAGGAACACAAACCATAATGTCTCGATACGATGTGGTGTAACGGATCACGGGTTTGAGTCCCACATCGGATCGGCACAAAAGAAGAAACGGATAAATGTAACTTTTAGATCATTATTGTTGTTGTTTGTTTGTATCAGCTGGTCTACAAGATCCACAAGATTTCGGACTATTTGCTTTTTTCACCACCGTCCCAAAAATCATTAGAACCGCTCTGAAGTCTGTAAACATCAATATATTCTAAATGGTTTTGTTTTACTTTGTGATTTAATAAAAACAATTCAAATGTTTAGAAATAGAAGATTGTAATTGTATTGATTAAAAAAACAAATCCCATCATTATTATTTTAATGGTGTATAATAATGAGCTTAGAGCTCGTGTTATGAAGTTAAACAGCTCATAATTCATCTCTAATATCTATTTTATATTCATGTGGAAACATCTCCTTCAAACTACTGGATTTATTCTAGTTTATCACCAAAATGTAGTTTTGAAATATTCGGTGAGAAATTGATTCTTCTAAATACTACCAAAAATGTCAACGTTATAATTTACCTTCACCCAATAGTGCGTTAGCGTTTAGCTCCGGGTGATGCTAACGCTGCTAACCTTCCTCAGCGAACAGAAAGCACAATGCCGATCTGCTGATCACATGTTTTTAACTATCTAACGATCGTCGGTAAAACCACTGTGATGGATAAACTGTGAAATGAATCCGCGGTTCACACGTGTGCTGAACTACAAGTGCATCAACATCTTCTTACACCACTTAATCAAACATGCCGGCCAGAATAAAGTCCTGTCCAGCTCAACTCATGCATGTTGTATTTAATAAGCATCAGATCATTTAGACCACCTCCTCCTCGGTCTTCTGTGTTTGTTTGTATTTCTGTTCTCAGTTCGGTTGTGTAAATTGTCCCCACAGTGCACAGATAATACGTTATCGACCGACTCAGTTACGCAGCTGGACCAACGCAACATGCCGACTATTAATGCGAGATGTGTGTGCTGCAGGTACTACCGCGGGGCGGTGGGGGCTCTTCTCGTCTACGACATTGCCAAACATCTAACGTATGAGAACGTGGAGCGCTGGCTGAAGGAGCTGAGGGATCACGCCGACAGCAACATCGTCATCATGCTGGTGGGAAACAAGAGCGACCTGCGTCACCTCCGGGCCGTTCCCACCGACGAGGCGCGGGCTTTCGCCGGTGAGACTCATCTATTTATTTATCATTTATTACATTTATTTACCCAAAATTATTTCAACTCTCTAAAGTCAGTGAAACATCAGAAATACTAAACGTTATACTTTGACTTTGTTTTAGTAATTTATAGGTTTTTTTCCTTCATAAAAACACAATTCAAATGATTAGAAATAAAATATTCAGTTTTTATTGATACCATCTCTTTGTCATCATTGTGTTTAATGATGTATAATAATGTTCTTAGAGCTTGTGTTATGAAGTTAAACAGCTCATAATTCATCTCTAATATCTGTTTTATATTAACGTGAAAACATCTCCTTCAAACTACTGGATTTATTAAAGTTCATCACCAAAACTACATTTTACAGATGACATGTGAACACATCATGATAACGTTAAAATGTACCTTCAGCCAGTACTCATGTTCACTGAGCAGAGACTGAAGGCATCATAGTGTAACTGAACTGAACCTCTGTTGGTTAGCCGTTAGCGGTGCTGCTAACGTTACTAGCTCTCCTCCTGTTGGTTAGCCGTGAGCGGTGCTGCTAACGTTACTAGCTCTCCTCCTGTTGGTCTAAACACTGATTGGTTGTTTACAATGAAACATTATCAGAGATCAGAGACTAGAAACAGAAGAAGAGGAGAGGAAAGAGGAGGAGGAGGAAGGAAGGAAGGAAGTGAGGAGGAGGAGGAAGAAGGAAGAAGGAAGGAAAGAAGGAGGTTATAATAGTATAATAGTAAGACTTTAATGACTGTCATTAATCTGGGGTTCACATGTGAGGAGGATCAGTACGGATCAATGGTCGTTACACCTCTAATGTCAATTTATATTTATTGTGATGTATTTCTGTTCGGTCATGATTTGTAGGGATGCCGTCTAAACGTGGAATCTAATCTCATATTCAGCCTAAGAGGTGTCTGGTACGAGTTCCTCGTTCCCGTCTCTGAGGTCAAACTGCTCCGCTATCTGTGGAATGCTGCATATTTTGACGCGCCGCTTAACACTTTTCTTTTTGGCCTCCGCAGAGAAGAACGGTTTATCTTTTCTGGAGACGTCGGCTCTGGACTCCACCAACGTTGAGACGGCCTTCCAGACCATCCTGACAGGTACCGTGCTCCTCCACCAGACTCTCCATTCAGCGACACACAGCGGCCCTTCTTTATGAGGGTGATTTACAGCCAGAGGAAGTCAGCTGTGCAGTGAAACAGAACCGCACAGCAGCTCTAGATTCACTTCATGACATAACGCTGTTTATCTTTGAGGAGAGGCCTTTAGTCATCACGCGGGAGATGACCGACCCTAAAGATTAACACGGTCTGTTCTTCTCTTACGGTTCCACTGGTGTCAAAGCTGTGGTCTGGTATTTGTTGTGTAACAGTGTGAATGTATACTACGAGGTTTTATTAAAACGTCTCTAAATACTTTCAGAATACTGACCGATGTAAGACCGAAATCTTACAACAACAAATAGACTCCAAATACTTTATATTACTTTAAAAAACTGTATTATTTAACAGCTGTAGTTTTTAATCAATAAATCAAAGGAAATATTGCGTTTATTGGGAACTACTTTCAGCGGCGGATGAATTCAGCAGGACAGTGTTTGTGGGATTGGGTCAGAATAAAAAAAAAGTGATAATAAATAATAGTGTGTTCATGGGGATGAAAGAACACGATCAGTCTCGTATATATCTGATATTTTACTGGTCAAATTTGTGGGATAAAACCTCAACGCAGAGTAACCGGCTGCACTTTTATTTTGAGATTTATTTGAATTAGAAACAGACTCGTGCGTGCGTGCCACAGAGCTGAAGGTGATTAGTTTGGGTGTGACTTCTAAAGCTTTGTTTATACTCTACATCCTCCACTACGACGAGGAGGGATTGTAACTATCTGTAGACTCATATCTCATATTCATAAACTACTTTATTACCTTCATACAAACCCTGTAAAGACACAAGTCAAGTATTTGTAAAAAATCAGAGGTTGAACATCCTGTAAACTAGTAATAGATTCACTGACACACACACACACACCCTCACACACACACACACAGGCCAGAGATACACAAAGGCAGCAGAAAACAATACAGTTAATAACATTGAAAGATATAAAATGTTCTTCTACAGTAGTCGATGTTTAGTTATGTTGAACATACAATTATATTTCAATTGTCCATGAAAGAAAATTTACAAAAATGTTTGTCTGCTGTGAATGATGTAATAATAATCTAGATCCGTTTGTTTTATTTAAGACGCAGCTTGTTTGTTGTATTTCTAACAATAATCCAGTTTGTAGCCCAGATTACTAATAAACTGTAAACATAATCTAGACTGTCTGAGCCTGAAACTTCTCTTTTAGTCAGAGATATTTAATGATTACAAATGTTCACGAGGACTCTCATCACGTTACATTCTGCTTCCTGTCACCAACAGGAAGCAGAATCGTCTCATTGAGTCAGGATAGCACTTCATCTCCAGATACATTTGACTCTTTAAATTGTTTTAATAGTAAAAAGCTGAAATAATTCGAAGACAAAAAAGTTTTAAATACTTTTCTCTGATATTATAAAATACTTACAGAACTTTGCATCATACCTTTAATGTTTTTACAGCTGCACAGATTCAACCGTAAACAAAAACTAAAAGCATAAAAGCTTTCAGTGTCGCTGAGATTATGAGCTACAAACTGAACGCTTATAGAAACACGATGTACAGTCCGCTGGAAAATATGCAAATTAAAAGATAATTCAGAAAAAGATGTGTGAATAAACCCATTTAACAAAATCATCTAAATTCAATTTTTATAAATTAATTCATCCTTTTATTCATAAAAGGGAGACGTTATTATTCATGATTACCTTATTTAATATTTCACCAAAAGTTATGTTCATTAAAGATGTGATTTAGCTGAAGTAATTCCAGTTTGTTTTTGTGGCATTTAAAAAGTTTTAATCATATTTTTTGGATGATTGTCGTGATTATTTCGTCCAGAGTTATCGTGACATGAGATAAAGAAGCAGATTGTAACTCTACGTGACGCTGTTACCCCCTCCAGAGATCTACCGCATCGTCTCCCAGAAGCAGATGTCGGAGCGTCAGGAGAGCGACATGTCGCCCAGCAACAACGTGGTCAACATCCAGGTGCAGCCCACCGAGAACAAACCAAAGATGCAGTGCTGTCAGAACATCTAGCCCCGCCCCTTCCCCCAGGTAAATACATCCCAGTATAAGAAGTCACCGCGTGGGGTGACCCCCCCCACCACCCACCCCAAGCAGAGCCCCTCTGTCGTTAGGCTACTGCAGGACAGCAGGCATTTCATATCACTTTAGATTTCATTACTGTAGATGCGCTGACGTCTCACGAAAATGTCTTAATATATGAATGTGATTTGTTTTTCTTCATACTTTGTGCTGATTTTTTTTCCACATTTTTATGATCTCTTCTTCTCTTGTCTCGGTTCATATATCTACTACTGGATATGAATTTAAAGCACATCAAAGTTGCTCTGAAGTTATGTCATCTTAGCCCCCCCCCCCCCCCCCCCCTCAGTGCAATGTACTGTTTTGGAAAAACCACGTGGATTGTATCGAGCACAGCGTGGAGCTGATGAAACGTAGAAGCTTTTGTTTGTTTTTTTGCATTTGTCGAGCTTCAGTTCAGCAGCTTTGCATGTCTTAAGAAAAAGAAAGATGGCCGCTCTGCTGCGCTGCATGTTTTACCAGGTGAAAGCTTTCAAATCTGGATTCTGAAGTGGAACCCTCGTCATCGCCTGTAGTTTTAAAAGCTGAACGCTCTTGGTGTCCGACTGTCAGCGTGGCTTCATACGGAGATAGTCACCGTTACACCGGGCAGGGTTTCCTGATCGAACAACGCGTCCATATTTGACTACAACTATGCAGAAACTAGCACATGGCTGTTTGGATTTTGTGTTTCTTTGTGCACCTCTATAGCAAATGAAGGAATTAAATCACAGCGTTCTCTTATATTATAATCAAAAGTTATGCTTCGCATGTAACCACAGAACTGTAGTTAGGAGACACCTGAGAGGAAGTAGGAAAAGGAAACAATCGGGCACTGAAACCTCAACAGTTAAACACGCGTTCTTGTTTGTTTTTACTGCACAATGGGAGAATCTGGACCTCGTTTTTTAAAAAACAACAACAAAAGGTTAAGTTCAGCACGGCTGCGTCTCAAACGTCTTTTCCTCGACTCCTGACAGAGGAAGGGTTCGGATGAAGGAGTCGAGAAAACACTTTTCAGCCACATTCTTGCCAACTCCTGGTGCCTCCCTTTCACCGCGTGTCTCATTCACCCGCTAACGACTCGCCATCGTACACCGAGCTGCCTCTGACTTCAACCCAATGCATGGCTTTCTGTTACGACTGCAACTCCGTGTCGTATCGCCTTATGTAGCTAACATTTACTGTCCCGTGAAATCTGCTGAGCTTTAGGCTAGACTAAGCTAGGCTAGTTAGCATGACAAGCTAATTGTTGCCCGATGGTGTTAGCGGACGTGTAGAATGCCTGAACGTGGTGTGCGTGTGTGTTTAGAGGCAGCGGGTAGATGGGTAGCTCTGGAGCGAGTGAACCTCGGCTGGCGGTGCCAATGGCGTTTTTTTTTTTCCTGGAACAGACGGCGCCGCCAGCCGAGCCTCTCCAGACTCACGTGGCAATCTGTGGACGATCTCCTCCCCTTCTGGAAATATGATTTCTGATCCTGTTCCATGTACTTCCATTGTTCTGTGTTTTTTTAAGACGTGTATTTTTTCTTCTTTTTTTACTATATTGAACTCTATAACTGACTGTAATTCCAGTGTAAAATGTGTTCAGAGTGAAAATAGGGGTTAAATGTGAGAGGGGGGTCAAAATGAATGGTTTTATGTTTTGTACAGATTGATAAATTGTACAATTGTCTATATCTTAAGTTATCAGTTCATCTTAATAAAGCGCACCAGTCATAAACCTTTATACGAGCTTGTATTTTACTTGATGTTCTTACATTAACTCAATGGTAACACTTAACCTATAGGGCCCTAGCCTCTGCCTCGAAAATTGCATACCCATACTAAAGAGAGTGCAGATCTCCAACTACAAGGTCTATTTTAATAATTTTGATGGTTAAATACAGGTAAAACTTGTGAGACACTTGTTCAGATGTGTATATGTTACTGGTTAATAGTGAATGAAGATGGAACACAGCTCAAATTGAAAAGTTTCAGGTTTGCCTGAAAAAAAAGCACTTGTATTGAAGATTTGAAATAATGCAGATGCCAGCCTAACAATACGCCAGAGTCATAGCACAACATGTTTACAGTCTCCACAAAGAAATTTAACTTCGATTGAGAGAAGCAGGCCAGCATAATAGAGGTTTGAGTACGGACAGTCAAGCCAAATTCTCATTTTTGGAACCAGCTGTTGCGCTGGATTTCATATATTTTATATACTATTTAACTATATATTTCACTTGTATCACTATTGTTCAATACATCCAAATACAGCAGTTTGGCATTATTGTGAGCCATTTTGAGATCTCATATCTCTCCATGGAATTTTCTCATCTCTGTCTGAGTCGGTGGAGACCTTTTTAAGGCCTGTGATTGGCGGATTTCATCATGCGACACCTTGTTCAATGCGGAAGAGACTCAGGCAAGCAGTAGGCGGGTTAGTTAGTAGATTGACAGACTTTTAGCCACTAAAAATCTCGATCTGTGTGGCACAACCCCCACGCGTAAAATCATTGGCCCAGCAGGGAAATGCTGACCACTTTGTCATGGAACCTCCCAGAACCTCCATTTTCTTACAGAGAGTGCAGGGCACGGACTATACCGCTGACACGGATTACAATGGATTTCCTGCGTTTTTCGTCACGAAAATCACCTAAAGGTACGATGCGTTTCAATTTTTTTGCTGGGGAGTGGCTTGTTGTTCGTTGGCTTTATATATGTAACTTTTGAATGGTTTGACGGAGAGGAATGAGGAAGCTGCATCACACTGTTCCTTTAAATCAACAAGCACTGCTTTCACATCTACACTGTGCTTCGTCCCTACTAATGTACAAATCAAAAATAAGGTGACTCTTCACTTGAACAGAACTAAACTAGAGAGCACGTTACTGCAGCCACAACATCCAGGACAGCTTCTCCACCGGTGTGTGATCAGCTGATCAAGAAGAAGCCTGAGAACCAGGTCGCAACCACAGAATACAGAAGCATAAAAAGAAAGTGCAAACAACCCTAAATAACAAACAAATGCGTATAAAGTGGTTTTCATCTGTCCTGATGCAGGTAACTAATAGTCACTCCAGCTCGTCTTCACAACGCTTAAAAATCAGCCTCAAATCAGAAGAGGTTCAGTTTTCAAACAGCACCTAAAGACCAGAGTTTGTGTCCGAATCTGCTGAAATGATCTGTGCTGACGTGAAAGAAGGATCAGAGTGTCCTCGGAGTTCAGTTCGCCTCCTCTCTTAAGCCTTAAAGAAAAGACGACGTCACATCCTGATTGGCCGAGAGCAGAAAAGCACCAAGCTGCTCTCAGTTCTTAATTATGAGCCAACAGGTGATCTGAGAAGAAACCTCCAATCAACTCAGGTGAACTGTGACGTTCAGCTGAAATGAGTTGGGGAACTGCTCCAGTTTCAAAGAAAATACAATGGATGAATCATTCAATAACAATAACAATGACAATCAATAACATCCCTGATTGAAATTCAAACAGCAGTTTGTGTAATGAATCGCCTCCGGAACAACTTTATCTATTTTCGGTGTTCAATTCAATATAATTGACTTTTTCTTTCTCTCAAACTGAAATTAATGAGCGCGTACTTACCACTAGTTCTGTCTGAGGACATTATCTCCACTTTCCCCTTTTAATTAGCACCAAATTACAAAGTCTTCACTGAGCGACAGCTACAAAGCATCGCCGCTAATTAATCAGGACGAGTGGGAACCTTAAAGGGCCAACAGGTGTTGCTCAGACTGAAGGAGAGCAATGATTGGACACATGGGGCTCCAGAGGACTTGGACTAAGAGGTCCAATCAGTGACAACATGACTCCCACTGTGTGGTCTGTAGTCGCAAGCTTTGGGACGAACTTCCCTCTCCGGTTGAAACAGGAAGTGTCGTAACATTTCGTTACTGTGGTTTCATATCAAGCAACAAACTGTGATAATGAGCAACACAAGTAACAGTGTGGACATTATTATCATCACATTCACATCACATGAAATATACAGAATCTGACACAGGACAGGAATTGCTTTTGTTTGCTGCATAAACAAGAAACAAATATAAAATAAAAATACAATAAAATATTTAAAAAAATAGGCCTATTTTTTTTAAAAGTACAATATTCCTAATTAGTATATTCTAGGGGATATGCAAGAAAATAAACCATTATTTCTTTGTAGCATTTATTTTTTTCTTTTGCAAACATCTTGTTTTTAACTTTTGATGTTTATGAGCTGCTCTGTTTTTGCAACCGTACATGTCAATATACTTTACGGTCAAAGGAAAACATCTACTGGACGAGACTGTTTTAGACTAGACATTTGATCCTAATAGCAATGTTTTAAGTCTGTGTGAGAATATTAAATATCGAAGTTTACGTTTGGACACAGCGTTGTCCATGACAAACGCCAAATGCTGCTGCACGTTGGTCAATAAGTCAGCATCGATGAAGACTCGCTGCTGCAGGGTTTTATAACCTACTTTCACGTCATGCTAATTAGTTTAGGATGTCACTAAATAAAGCAAAGAGTGTAAGTGGGTAGAGAGAGGGTAAGGCCAGTTTGAGAAAGGTCCGAGGTGTACACGATGGTGTCAATAGACCTTCTTTGAAACAGACATTTTTACTTGTAGCAGGAGAAAAGCAAAGATAACATTCATTTAATAACATTGATATCAACTATAACAACTAAAGAGTGAGCCAGCATGAGCAACACCAAACTGACTTCAGTCACCGTTCATTTCGTTTTTAATGGAAAAATGTCTTGGTGAAAAAAGGCCAATGGTCATTTTCCAGCTCTGTAGGCTATATGTATAGTTTCTTTGAAAACATTTTACATAATGTAATGTGACAAGACTAAAGGGCTGTGTTCAGTCTATAGACTATGTATAAGAAGTGGACGTAGTCACCGTGACGTCACTCATTGGTTTGTTTTCTGACGTTTTGAAGCCTCAAGTTTGGCAATTTCGCCGTCACCATCTTGGATTACGGCCGTCGCCATGTTGTTGTTTTGTGCAACCTATGAACAGGAAGTGACCATATCTGGACTGAGAAGTGACGTAGACATGCCGTATACGTCTCTGGTAGAGACCTGTCAATCACTGTGTAGCCCCGCCCTAAAGCATCCCCTGCTTTATGGTCTGTGTGACTCTAAATGGACCATAATGTACTAAATGAACATCATGCTGTATTGAAGAAGACTTGAAACTAGAGATTGAGACCATAAACTCATGTTTACAATGTTTACTGAGGTAATAAATCAAGAGAGAAGTAGAGTCATTTTCTCATAGACTTCTATACAACCAGAGGAGTCGCCCCCTGGTGGACACTAGAGAGAATGCAGCTTTAACACATGGATTATTGACTTCACTCGGCAGAACCGGAAGTTGCCGCCTGTGTTTCACGTAAAATCACAAGTGACAACCTGCTTGTGGTGCCAGAGAAAAAGTCAAAAGGATTCATCTTTGAATGTCTGAATAAAATGTTAAATGTTTTCAGGAACACCAAAGGGCTAATATCAATAGGTGAGTGTGGTCGACTCGCAGATGACAGTGAACCTCTGATGAAATGTTTCTTCAGCTCTTAAAGGGCCAATAATAACGATTTAGTCCGGGCGATTTTACGACAGACACTTGATACAAACTCAACATGTCAACATTTATGCAGACAACACATTATTGTATATCTCCAATTCTGACAACCACAGTTGTTTAAATATTATGATTATTAAACGCCAGCTGCTGCGTAACAAGACATGACACCACTCCCCTGAGCTACGACAACTTTATTGAGTTTAGGGCTTTAAACAAAAAGACCAACACGCAGCACTCGATACATGTACGGAAGCTGAAACTATTGTTTGGATCAAAGCCGGAGGAAAGATGTACGCGCAAGATAACATCAGAGCAAAATGGAACAAAAATAGGAAAACAAATACATGGGACAACAAAGCTGTTTGCATCTGATTGTCAACATGTCAACATGTTATTGCTATTTGCCAAACGTATAATTGTCAGCATTTTCAACAATAGTAACCTGTTTGAAAAAGTACGCCTCTGTCTCATATGTAATGTGAGAAACAGTTGCCACAATGAGACTAGAAACACATTTCATTATGTTTGGGAACAGAAATCCAGTGATTCTGTAATGACATTAATTCATTAAACGTGTTTCGAATTCAATTGTGACGCAAATGTCAAGCAAACTATTTGAAATGTTGCAAAAAAGAAATGTGAATTAGACGTGTTTCCATCAAGTGGTTTGGAGAGAATAAACTCAGCTACAGTGTAGTTTGGTAAGAAGTTGGCTCTTTAGGCTACACATGGCTTAAATCCGCCAGTAAACAGAAGAAGAGGTTGTGAACCGGAAACAAAACAACCCATAAATATATAAACTGGATTCAGCGTTGGAGGCGGCGCCACGTTCATTCCTATGAACGTTACTGCATGAAGCAAAAAAAGTTCAACTTCCGAGTATAAAATCCAGCTAAAGTTACCCGGATCTTCCTCATTTTGGGGTCCATAGAGAAAGCGCACGAGTGTTGTCTTTAGCCCCGCCTCCCACAATCTCATTCACATGAACTGAGGAAGGAAAATAACTCAAAGACTTTTAGGACATAATGATTTAAATAAGGGCTTTTCAAGTGTTCGGGCTTGGAGGTGATTCACCTCCAAAAAAATGACAGACGTCTTTCCCAATGTAAGTCAATGGGAAAAAGTCTTTTTGGGCCACATGGCATCACGTGACAGACCAGGAAGTTGTAATTCCACCGTTTGGCCACTACGTAAAATTTGCTTAAAAAGCCCCGAAATAATGTGTAAAATGTGCTGCTGAAACTGAATATCTTAAGATAACAATTAATCGATTAATAATAATCTGAACATTAATCAGTAATGAGAATAATCGTTAGTTGCAGCCCTGCAGCACATGTTTCAGATCGGAGTGGCTCCCATGTTGAGACAGTCAGATGACAACAATAAAAGGACATAATAAGGGTATTCCTGGCTAAATATTATATCTTGAATAATCTTTGGCATGCACGTGTATTAAGCTTGACACAACAAAATAAAAAAAATCACAATAATAAATACTAGTGCACAGTAAGTGTACTCTGTCTACAGTACATACAAAAAGAGAGAAAATATGGATCCCGTCAGGATCATTAAATATGTAAACAGGAAATAAGAAACGATGTGTAAAAATACCAGAATTATACAGGTAGTGTAGATCTGACCAGACTGCACGTCTTCACCTACTTTGAAGGAGTAATGAGCACCTTTTTCTCCAGAGTTTTCACACTGTACAGGTTTGGAGACATAATGCCCGTGTGATGCTTCCTCATTGTCCAAGTCTGCTGGATCCAAAGTGGGCCTCAGTCTCAACAATCCCACCCACATCAATTTACAGGAGTAGTTAAGTCTCTTTGTTTTTCCTTCTTCTGACGCACATCAGCGTACCAGAGAGACAAGGTAACACTTTGTGTGCGTTTATATTTCCCTGTGTTGACATTGATGAGAGGGGCTTTACAATACAACACAAATATGTAGTATTGATTGGATATAATACAGTGATAAAATATCAAACAGTTGCAGCACTGCAGGAAGGAGATTCTCTCACACACCAGTTTCCTGGTCCTGGGAGCACTGGTCCAGTATCCAGTCCAGTCTGGTACGGGTGAGGGGGGGGTGGGGGTCTAGAGCAGCGAGCTGGTGGGGCTGCCGGGCAGCGGGGGGCTGTGGCTGTGCAGGGTGAGGCTGTGGCTGTGGGACGGACTCGGGCGCATCGGCAGCAGGTCGTAGTGGCTCGGGATGTGGCTGTTTCTGGGCAGGTCGTACGGGTTCTGAGGGTAACTGGGAACCAGCACACAGCCGGCTCCCTGCACGATACTGATGGTTGGTTCTGGGAGAGAGGGAGAGGAGGGACTTCAGTTAGTCAGTCGACATGAAATCAGTTCTTTTCATCATTTTTGATCTTATTCATTTCATTCTCATCTCAACGTGATGATTTACTTCTTTTCTTTTATATTTTTATATTATTGTAAACTGAATATCCTTTGACTACTTTTTGGACAGAACGTAACCAACACTAACTTGTGATATTTCAAAAGACTAATCAGTTAATCAATGAATCAAAAACACATTTCAGATTTATAGAACATTAAATAGTCATCACTTGCAAGACCTAAATAAATAAAGGTTTATTTTATTTGTAAAACGAAGAAAGATTTAGCTTTATCACTTCTGATTTTGCAAGTTTTAGTTCCTTAAATACAAACTGTGTAAACTTAATTTATATAACTAGAGACCCTTAATGTCACTACATTTGAAACTTTTTAATTTAGCTTTAAAAAAAAAAATGTATTCATCATTTTGCCTGTTTTAATATGGATATGGAAAACCTTTTGGCAGGGGTGTGAGTTAATTCATTTGGAAGTTAAGCCTCAGCTCCTATAAAAACAGTGTAAATAAAATACAGACACTCAGACCCTTAAGGACAACAATGTCCCCATTAAAACCACAGTTTTTGATCCCACATTACAGCATAAAATCATGCATTCTATTATATCAGACTTTTAATCTGTAGTCCTGGCTTCTAAATTGTAGTTTTTACTATTTTCCACCAGATTAAGTCGTTTTCTCATGTTTGCCATCTGGAGTTAATACGTGTTATTCTCCTGGTGTCCACTAGAGGCATCACAGCTGTATTATGGAGTTAATACGTGTTATTCTCCTGGTG